GTAAAGGATGCCCAAACCTATCCGTCTTCCTTGGCATCTGATCAGAACACCTTTGCCTTGTCGATTATTGTGGACTTTCGGGTCGGCCTCCAATCGCATCCGAGTCATCAACCTTCATGACCCCATGCGCTTTCCTTCACTATGGTCTTGGTCGAATCCGTCGAATCCTCACGCAAGTCCCCACACTTGTCACAGGTTTTCGTTTTCCTGTGCTGTAAGGTGTGTCTTGATGCTCGAAATGTTCATACTGACATGCCACGTGCGGAGGCCGATGTTATCAGTCAGACGACCTTTCGATTCCAGAACCGTGACTTAGAATTTGTGTCCCCCAAATGTGCTACCGTTAGCACGCATCCTATGTTTCTGGGACTCCCTCTTTTCTCTTCAATTAAACCACGATTTTTCGCCTTACTTCAAATATGCAAAGCGCTTACATATCCTTAATGTCGGAGCATCACATTTTCAACGGATTCTGGAGTTATTGCTAGAATGAATTTTCTCGGGCGGATTCCTGTGGTTCAACATTTATTTTCAGTTTATTCAGTTTATTTGGTAAGGATAATAGGCAAAGCCTTTGAAAACCCTATTGATTACATGTCAGCTCGTTAGAATAACTGTACACGAACAAAAAATGTTCACTATTAAAACAGTACTTGGTTCATTTGAGTAGCATTATCTCAGAGAAAATATTTGTCTGGACCAGGGGTATTAGTTCAGATTCAGACCGTCGAGGGAAATCAAGGGACACAAATAATCATCCAAGCGTTTCTTGAAGAGTTGCAGGGATGTAGCCTCCACGACTGACTGAGGGAGATCGTTCCATTTCTCCACTACCCTCTGCGTGAAAAATTCAGAACGGAGATTCAGCCTGGACATTGTTGTCCGTAACTTCATCGAGTGACCACGAAGATTGGGTGAAAGGTGCCACTGAAACATGTCCTCAAATTTAAGTCCATACTCAAGGCCATGTATTATCTTGTAGACGAGGATAAGATCACCTCTTTGCTGCCTGTAACACAGAGGGAATAAATTAAGGCAATTCAGTCTGTCTGTGTAGGAATGGCTTTTTAGACCGTTTACCAGCTTTGTTGCACGCCGTTGTACCCGTTCGAGGCATTCTTGGTCCTTTACCAGCCATGGCCGCCATGCTTGTATGCCGTATTCTAAGTGGGGCCGAACAAATGTGCCGTAAACTCTCCCAAAAAGGTCTTGGTCAAAATTTACGAAAGCCCTTTTTATTGCATGCAGCACTCCCATGGCGTTTTTTGCAGCCTTGTGGCACTGCAGTGTTGGTTTCAGGTTGTTCTGTATCCAAACCCCGAGATCTTTCTGTGAAGATTCTGCAGGGAGCCTTATATCTTTCAGGTGATAAGTCCTCAGATTCTCATTTGAATGAGAGTTGGTTGGACGCAGATGAAGGACGGCACACTTCTCCACATTGAAATCTAGAAGCCATTTCTTCGACCACGCTTGCAGTCGGTGCAGATTATCTTGAAGGGATCTCTGATCATTCGTACCCTTAATGACTTGCCAGAGCTTAACGTCGTCTGCAAACATTATTTTGCCGCAGTCGAGTTCCTGAAGGCTGTCGTTAACGTAAAGGATGAAGAGCAATGGTCCCAGAACTGAGCCTTGCGGCACACCACTGGTCACATTCACCCATTCTGACATATCATCCCCGATACAGACACGTTGTTTCCGACCAACCAGAAACGCCCTAATCCAGTTCAGAAGATCTCCCCGGATGCCGACGTCGCTTAATTTGTGAAGAAGACGTTGGTGTGGGACAGTATCAAAAGCTTTGCGGAAATCGATGTACACGACATCGACCTCAAAACCCTTTTCTAGAGCCCTGGTCCAGATTTCCAGACAAGCTAGCAGATTTGAGAGGCAGGAACGTCCTCTCCGGAAGCCATGTTGAAAATCCTGCAAGATGTTATTTTCTTCACAAAATTGCTGTATAGCGTTCTTTACTATAGCTTCCATCGTTTTGCAAGGGAGGCAAGTTAAGCTAATAGGTCGAAAGCTGCTTGCTGTCATCCTGCTACCTCCCTTGTGCAATGGAACGAGGTTAGCTGTCTTCCACTGTGAGGGCAGCCTTCCTGTTCTCATTGACAGCTCAAAGAGAGTCGAAAGAGGCTTTGACAGCTCCGTTGATAGCTCCTTAAGTATCAGCCCGGGAATTCCGTCGGGTCCAGGAGACTTCTCAGATTTATTTGACTGAGGACTCCTCTGACTTCTTCCACGGGAAAGGCGACGGTTTCAATGACGGCAATATCTTGGCGCATTTGAAGCTCCCGGCTGTCTCGGTCCATTTCAAACTGCTGATTGTCTTCTATGGACTCTTCCGTAAAAACCGATTGAAAAAACTGAGACAGTAATCGCACTTTCTGTGAACCTTCAACTAATAAGTTTCCGAGGCTATCCTTTAGACACGCAATTTCGTCCCTATGTTTCCTCCTACTGCGGATGTACCCGTAAAACTTCTTGGGACATGCAATGGATTCTGCTATCAGTCGACGCTCGAAAGAACTTCTAGCAACCCGTATTTCTTTGCGGCATTTATTGAGCTGATCCTTATATTCGGCGAGTGACCTTGGATCTCGAAGTTGCAAATACTTTTTCCAGAGTCTCTGTTTCTTCTTCATGGTCCTTTTTGTCGTCGGATTGACCCACGGCGGTCGCGCACATGGTCTTGTCATTTTTATTGG